CATTAGATCAGCATTTGGGACCTATTTACTGTGACAGGAAAACAATACACCTATGATCTATTGTGGGCTGGGTTGAGCTTTCCAACTTCAACAGTAGTTATATATGGTTGATAAATGAAATTAACGTGATAGCCTTGACATAGTACTAGTAGTTTGTGTATTACAACTCCAATCAGGTGTTGAATTTCATTCTCAAAGAATTAACCTAAACTTTAGCCCTCTCAGGTCTTCAGTCTCTTCATAAAGCCTATAAATACCACAGACAAGGCTTATGTCATTAGCCTCTTAATGTTATAAACATTTAATGAGGTTAAATTTGAAGTACAACACATTGTAAAATCGATCTGATCTTGTTGGGGAGACAAAGGGAAGAAAATTGTTAGAGTCGTTTGGAAAACAAATTAAGAATTACATTCACTTAACTTTGAAGTGGATGAAAAATTATGGCCAAGATGGATGGAGCCATTGTGTTCCAAAGGCAAAGAGGGCTGGGAGCAGGGATCCTCTCTCTCTCAGAGGAGGATGCTGCCTGACACAGATTACCAGCACCCTCAGTGGCAGGCAGCCCCCATCAATCACCTGGGCAATGGCAGGCAGAGCTTTCCTAGAAATTGGAGGAATTTCACTCCAAATATTGCAGCTTGGGCGCCTCTCCCTCCGAGCAGCCCCATCAGCAGCTGGGGATTTCTGTGCCTTTGGGCACAGGTCTGCACTGTTCCCCTCCAGGGCTGCTCCTGTTTCCAGGGATTCTCACCTGCTCCTGGCGTGGCTCCTGCCCCCGAGCACAGCCCTCAAACACGGGGCTGCCTTGTCTGGTTGCAGGACAAAGCCATTCTTGCTGCAAATTCTTCCCTGGAATTGCCTTTCTAAGGAATAGGTGGCTGAGGTTCTCCCAGCCTGTCCTGAAGTGGGGGTGAGGGGCTTTGCTGGCAGCCATCTCAGTGTCCTGGCGTGGTTTACCAGCACACAGGGTCTCCTCCAAGTGCTAAGCAGGCAGGAAAGAAATAAATAAAAATAAATAAACCCCTATTAGTGAAGGTTTACTGTGTAAAACTGCAAGACAATGAACAGGAAAAAGTGAAGGGCAGCAGACGTGTTAAAATGCTGCAGACAACAACCTGCTTGGAGGAAAGTGTATTTGTTCTTTCTTTTTAAAACTCATTATTTATTTTCTCTATTCTTCAGACCTAATGTCTCACTAATGAATTCCAGGGGGATTTTTGAATCATGGTGATATCATGGGTTAAACCCCTTCTCTACTTTTTGAATGTAAATTCTTTTTGGCATTCTTAGTTATTGCAGAGCATTGACTTCTTTCCTACAACAAAACCAAACGCTCTTTGGTTTTGCATAGTTAACATTTTGCTAATGGGTAGCCAAGATTCTCTCAGCAGCTCAACAACATTTTCTAAAGCACGCTGGCGTTGTTGTAGCAACTGGTGGCTGATCTGTGAATAAAGCAGATGTCATTGTGACAGGATAAAGGGAGAATAATCTATCACCCGGCCACTGCCACTCCTGCCCAAACAAGTCATCAAAATGACAACTTTGATGCGTAGCCATTAATTCAGGTCTGTGTATCCCCTCATCTCATCTCATCTCATCTCATTATTATATCAACCAAGGGTGTGTTACAAACACCAAGTTTCCCAGCCCCTCTCCCTTGTCTTTCTGAGCAAGTGCAGCCTGGATGTGCTGAGGCACTGACGGTTTGCCAGCTTCCTTTTGGGCTCTGATTGATTTTGCACTGTCGTCCAAGCTGCTCTGGCCTAAATAAACACAATATATATTCTGAGATGCCTTTTTTCTTTACTGTTTAATCTGAATTCAGCTCATGTGGCTCACAACTAAAAATGGGCAAGCATCAAAATATTCTGACAGGTGCCCGAGCTGAGCACAAAAGGAGAGACAGAAGCAGATAAATTGCCTTTCTAACTTCTCAGAAAGGCTTTAATAAATTTATTTTTTGTTTTAGCTTCTGTTCTAATTCTCATAATTTGTATTTAGTTGGTACAACTCATGACCCTAGTGAGTCATCTCACATCCCCCTCTTTTGGTGGCAGCAAACACCGCGTTCTTTAACACCATCCTACTAAACGCTTTCCAAAGAATATTCCCCAACTTTTTTCTATGCCTCCAGTGCTGAGGCATCAGAGCAATGTGCTCCTGCTTTGCAGAGACTTTGAGCTGAGTTTCAGCTTGCCAGAGGCTGTTTGTTCCCTCTGTGGAACTGCTGTCCACGTCCCCTCCCTCAAAAAGCCTGCTTTGCTATCTCCTTTGCTATCTCCCAGCTTTGCTGATCACTTGACTCGAGGAGACAAAACATGAGACCAGGTTCCTTCCATTTTCCTGGTGCATGACTCATACTTAATGTGGAGGTTATATTAATTACTGTGTGCTCAGCATTTAATGAGCCTGGGAAGGAGTCTCCTCTCTTCAGCTACCCAGAACACACAGGGAAATCACTGAATGCAGTGAATACATTTCCCAAACACTCAAATCTGGATATGTATTTTACACAAGGAGACAAATCAGTCATTGCTCAAGTTCCTTTAAAAAAGGGATGGCAGAAGCTGAGAAATCTGGGCCATAATCCTATTTCTCTCACAGGCTGCCTTTGTGCCTGCTGGCCAACCCTCTTGGGCTCTGTCTCCTGATTTCCTGTCTGTTTGTAGGGATAATAGTGGCTGGCTGGGACCAGGCTCAGCTCAGAACTTTTGTTCAACTTGACATCACACCATTAGAGAAGGCCAAGAGGAATTATCCTGAGGTTTTTAATATGTGGAATTTTTTTTTTTTTTTAAATAAATGATCTATCTTCCAGTCCTGTGTGATGGCATTATAGTCTAACATGACTGCCTTTACTGGATCTTCTGTGTCTTTCTCCATTGACTTCTTTCTCAAGGTGATGGGTATTTAACATCCTCTGAAGGATTTTACACTGAAAAATACACTGTATGTGATGTCCATAATGCATATTGTACAAGAAAAGTTGCTAAGTAAAAACTTTTGTGTGAGAAACAACTCACAAAACAGGTTTCTTGCTGGTTCCAGGGAACAGATACTTGGATTTGGCTTGATGTGAATGAAATTGGTCTATGAGCTGTGCAGCAGCAGGCAGGCTCAGCTTTGCTGCAATCTGGCCCTTCTACTGAGCCCTTTCTGTTCCCTGCTGCACTCAGTGGTGTGCCTTCCGTGCATTGGTTTGTTCAGGGCTTTTCCTTCTGAGGCTTTTTCCTCTGTACTCCAAAGCATTTCTAGGGTGCACCCTGTCTGTTACAGGCCATTAGCTTCTTTATCTTTCAAATGTCTTTTTCTGCCTCCTAGTTAGAATCATGGAACATCCTAAATTGGAAGGGACCTGCAAGGATCATCGAGTCCAGCTCCCAGCCCTGCACAGGACACTCCAACAGTCCCACCCCGGGTATCCCTGAGAGTGTTCTCCAAATGCTCTGGAGCTCTGGCAGCCTTGGGGACATGACCAAACCCTGGGCAGTCTGTTCAGTGCCCCAGCACCCTCTGGGGGAAGAACCTTTCCCTGATATCTGCCCTAAGCCTCCCCTGGCCCAGCTCCAGCCGTTCCCTGGGTGCTGTCCCTGTCCCAGGCAGCAGAGATTGGAGCTGCAGCCCCTGGTGAGGTCTGACCTCAATCTTCCCTTCTCCAGCTAGCAAACCAAGTGCCCTCAGCCACTCTTTGTAGGGCCTCTCCAGACCCTTCCCCATGCTGTGTCCCTCCTTTGAACACTCTTTTTTATATTGCAGTGACCAAAACTTCATACAATATTTGAGATGCGGCCATGCCAGTGCAGAGCAGAGAGGGATAATCCCCTCCCTGGCCCAACTGGCCATGCTGGGCCTGGTGCCCCCCAGAACAGGGATGTCCCCCCTGGCTGTCAGGGCACTGCTGACTCATATCCAGCTTTCCATCCCCCCTGCAGCTCAGACTTGGAGACCTTCTTGCTCCATCGTCTTCTTTGGTTACAGGTTGGGGACAAGGGACAGTATTGGTTAATATGCACATTTGGGACATTCACAGTGCATATTTCCTCTATTATAATGACAAATGTGAAAATATTGTCAGAAATACTTGTACAGCATCCTAATTTGAATTTGTGCATCCTGACTTAAAATTGATTTTGAAGTGTGGTCGTCTAAAAAAGTTTCGTAATCCACATGAGAGTTCATTGAGAGCCTTGTGCAATATTGTTAGTAGCCATTATTTGCATTTTCTAGGTTATTGTGTCCCCTTACAATAACTTTATCAAATGAATCACATAAGAGCATATTTTAAGGATGTTTTCAGTTTAATTATCACTGTTGAAAGACATATCTCCATTAGCTTTGCACATACGTGGCAAAGAAAACTTAATCATTGATTGATTCATATTTTATGTAAGTGCTTCTAGTATCAAGCTGAGTGAATTGTCCTTTTAGAAAGACTGAGAGGTAAAATCCTTAAAACTTACTTAGGAGGCAGAACATCCTGAGGCAGAACATCTTCATTTCCACAAACTGGGGTTCCAGTACGGGATAGGGAAGGGAGATTCCACAATTAACAGGTTCCCAACTTGCAACCAGGCTTTTCCTCTTCTGCTTCCCACTGCTCTCCCTGCCCCTGCTCCTGGGCTGTGTTTGCTCTGCCCCATCCAGGTTGTCCCTGTGCCCAGCACTGCCCGGGCAGCACACATGAAAAGATGGATTTTCCTTTGAGGGCTGCATTGTCCTGCACTTGTGTGGATTTCAGCGCCATTGTGAGCTCTTTCCCCACCTAAAAACAGAGCTCCTCTATCCCGGAGCACAAAGACCAAGCTGTTGTGGGGGGAGAAATATCCACAAACTCGTAAATCTTCCTCCTTCTCCTGTTTATTCTTCGTGCCATTCAAGCCCATTTAGAGAATGACCAATTAACTCCACATTCATGAGACATTCTGATGGGCCCAATTTCCCCTATCTAAGGTGACACAACCAAATTTCTAAATACTTTCTAGTTGAATGCAGGATTTGGTTTTCCTTGCTCTTTAATTCATGGTTCCCAAATTGTTATTCAAGTTATTAAACAAATTGGCAGGTTTTTTTTTTTCCTTTTTTCCCTCTCCATTTTATCATCAGCAATATTTTAAAATATAGGGAAAATGTGTATCAAATTGAATTACTTGTGCATCCAGTTTTTTTATTATTGTGAGTAAAACTGTTTAAAGGTATTTGTCCTTCAATAATTATTCTGCTAGCTGTACATGGCACATCACGCAGGAGTTTCGCACATTACTTTTCTATGGTAAAAACATACTGCAAAAGTAATAACTTGTAAAATAACTAATTAGTGAGGAAAACACAATTTTAACTATGATATGGTATTCACTAAATCAAAGCCCAATACAAACTGAGGGGCAGATTCCAATAGTAAATGTTAGATCTCAATTATTTAACCATAATACAGAATTATAATGAACCATCCCTACTGCATGTGGTTGCATTTTAAATCTAGTTGCGTGGAATTGAGGAGGATTAAGAGCAGTAACTCAATGAAAATTGACAAGTCATAAGATTGAAAGTAAATTACATTAATAACTTTATTTTGATACCCCATTCTGGTGCCTGAATTGAATAAAAATTCTATTTTGTGTTAAGTGGCAGGTCTGCAAAGAATCTGTGTATTAACCCCTGATATACATTGCTAGGATTAGGTACTGCATGGGCTTGTGTTCTTAAATAATATATATACAAGGAGTGAGTCAAAACCCGAGTCCTAACAGGCAAGTTGTCAAACTCTGCAGCATCTTTTGTGATGCTTCTGTTTCCCTTCTCAGAAATTCTGTTTTCACAGTGTTGGGTGGGAGTTTTGTCTGAGAAGGATCAGTGCACACAGGACAGAGCTGTCTCATCTACCCCTGGTGGCACTTCCTGCAGTGCAGGGAATCAGTGACATAGTCCCATCACTGATGCCTCATTATCTGGGGAGATCCTGCAGTCTGGAAGGAGCAGAGAACCTGATCTGTCCCAGACAATGTGCAATATCATCTGTAACACTGGGCCACGTTTCTTACCCAGTGAAAAACAAAAACAACATTAGAATTAGACATGTTTTTTATCAGCCACAAATGAGCTAAGCAGTAGGAACAGAATGATTCTAAATGCAGAGAAATATTTACCACTCGAAGGTCTGAAGAAATCAGCAGCGATAAAAAGGAAATACCACAAAGAGAATGCAAAACAGCTTAGTTGGGCTCTGAAAAGCAAGTGAGTAGTCTTTAAATTTGCCTCTTTAAACTCGTCTGAATGTTTTTCTGTATTTTTGGGCTCTGGCCTAAGTGGGGGGGGAGGGTTGGAGGGGGGGTGGAAGAATAATGTAAATGCCAAAAGGAGCTGGACAAAAAGTAAGCTTTGTATCCTATCTATGAGAATCAGACGATGTGTGTCATGCAAGTTATTACAGTCACAGACTACAGTCTTGCCCTGATGGGAATCAGATTTGACAGCAGCACAAAACAGAGGTTTAACTGACAGCACACACAGCACATTTGCGAGTCATAACGCCACAGTTTAATGACTGACGCATGTGGGAAGCTAATTCGGATTTTTTTTTTCTTGAATGGGATAAATGAGCATCCAGTTAATACCAATCATGAATTCAAGCCATGTGACAAAATTGATGCTACATACCCTGTTCTTGTTTTGCATATTCTGCAAACTGAGCTGCAGGAAAAGAGGCAGGAGAGAAAGTTCATCCTGCTTTCTGACACATCCACCAATTGCAGCTGAATGCATGCAGCTTGCTGCTGTTGTGTTCTCAAACTAATTACCCTTTCTCTGTTAAATAGCCTAAGAATTACAAATTGTATGCCTGTTTTGAGAAAAAGTACAGGTTGAACAAGCAGACGTAGTATAAATAAAATATTTATATAAAAATAGTCTCTTACAAAATATACTCTCTTATCCTATGGTTGATTTTTCCAAAAGATGGAATTTTGTCTGGATTTTCTTATTTTTAGACATATTCCAAACAGGATTTTATTAATGTTTCTTTCTTTAATAGGAAAAAAAAAAAAACAAAACAAAAAAACCCCAAAAAACAAAAACAAAAAAAACCCAAATGCAAAACTGGTAAAGATTTGTAACCCCTACCACTCCACTTTTGTTCCAGACAACTAGCAGCAAACAGGAGGAAACAAACAAAAACCCCAAAATACAGTGTGTTTGTGTATATACATATATATAAAGACGCCAGCTTTTGTCCTAAACATCCAATACTGTAGAACATATCCTGCAAGTCCAGCTAATAGAAATATCCTAGTCAAGAATAATATGTACAGCTCCAGTGTTTCCTTGCTGATCCTACAAAATTATTCCACAAAGAAAGCCAGTTATCTACTTTAGTTGCAGAATAGTTCCAGAAAGGTTGGTAAAGTTCTTCTTTTAATTAAATAAATTAATATTAGTTTTATCTGAATAAATTGTTAAATATTGTTATTATTATGCCCAAGTGTCCCAAATCCCTGTGCTAAAATCTGCAGCTCACACACACATGAGAAAGGCAGATAAAGCAGTGTCTACAGAACCCTTCCACAGTTCTTCTTGCTGCAGCAAGTGCTGTGAAGAGGAAAGATGCGCAAGACCAGTAGAAGCTTTTCACGAGTGTGGAAGCCTAAATCTGTGTTATCCACACACTCCCACGGGCAATTTACGGGGAGGCTCTGTCCATCCCATCCTGTGCAAAGCCCTTTTGTAGGGATTTCTCCCCTACCCCTCCCTGCTCCTCGCACACAGAGGTGTTTGACCATCCCTTTCCCAAACCAAGAGTTCACTGCCCACACCCAGAGATTCCTCCCTGGCCGGTGTCTCTCCGCAAGGCAGCCAGCGCTCCTTCCTCCCGAGGGGCAGGCCCACTGAGATGGTCCTTTTCTCTCTCTTTCATGTCTCTGGTGGCCCGGAGAGGGGTTTGCTTGTTTTTGTTTCTTGGCTGACTTTGTAAGAGTCTGAAATGTGTATCCACATCAGCAACAAACATGAGGAGAGAAGAGAGGGCTCCGTTTGTGAGCGTCTCTTCAGGGAGAGCAGCTCTTCCCGCAGTTCCGCTCAGCTACGAGTGCATGTGCAAATGTATCCAGGCCGGGGAGCGGCCAGGGCAGGCGCTCACTTACAGGTGTACACCTCTGTCCTCTCGCTGCACGTGTTGCATTTCACGTAGCAGCACCAGTGGAACTTGCAGTTGCACTGCCACACCCTGGAGTACTGGTGGGTGTTGTAGCCGCGGCCGCAGCACATCAGGTCGCAGCCGTTGGACTGCTGCGCTGTCTTGTTGCACATCCTGCCCTGCGTGCCCACGCTGCCTGTCACCGGGTCCTCCTCGCAGTAGTTGGGGGATTTCTCGATGTACACCAGGTCTGTGTCCATGGGTTTGCGGTAGGAAAGGGGCTTCTTGATCTTGAGGAAGGTGGGGCGCTTGTTGCGGCTGGCCCTGACGGGCTCCACCTGCACGGCCTCATTGTACTTGTCCTTGAGGATGTAGCCCAGCTCCCGGAACTTGGGCAGTGTTGTCCAGCAGGTTTTAGTGGTGCAGGACCCCGAGACCCCGTGGCACTTGCACTCTAACTTCATGTTTTCCTCCAGGATCTGTGGTTAGAAGAGCAAAGAAGGATGCATTAATAACAGGGCTGTTAGATGGACGCTGGGTGACGCTCAGGGATGGGTTTGTTCTGCACTGGGAGCTGCCACCACACACAGGTCATGCTGCTGTCCCACACAGCAAATGCTCATCAGTTTGACCCAGTTCTGCCTGCAGAGCCGATTCCCCTTCTGCACTGTGAGTTCAGCAGAGAGGATCACTCTGCCTGACTCCACAGCTGAGGGAGCAAAGCTGGAATGGGCCCTTCCTCAGGCACAGCTTTTCTTCAACGGGATTGCCCAGTGCCGGACATTTTCCTTTTGAAGTTAACAAGCCTCATCTTCCCTTCTGCCTTCACATCCCCTGAAACTCTGTCCCTGTATCTTCTCCTGCTGCTTACCAGCCCAGTCATTGCCAAATAAAACTGGAGTCCAGCTTAGTCCCTGCTCTGAGTCCTGGACCCTGCAGCTGATCCCAAGCAGCAGTGACGTTGGGATAACGCAAGCAAACACACCTAATTCCAGCAATTAATTTCCCTCTTCTTTCACTTGAAAGAGGCCACAACAATTTTGATGATGAAACTCTGCCTAACCTGGCAGAGCCCAGCACTGGAAAGCCCAGCCAGAGGGATTATCAGGGCTCAGGGAGTGGTCACATCATTTTTCCCCTGAGAAACCCAGCTGATCCATGCAGCTCCAAACCTGGACTCCAAAACTGGTCAGTGATATGGAAATTGGAATTAACCCTTTGTTACAGCCTCTCCCTTCAGTTTGGGGTGTTGGAAACAGCGGACACTGTCACTGGCCATTTTCAGCAGAAAGCAGCAGCCTGCACTGAAGGAGCAAGTCCATCTCCTAGGCTGGACATGTGTCAGGACCTCAAGCCTAAACCCTCCGTGTGAGCTGGGGGTGGCAAGGACAGAGCACTGACCTAGAGGAAGATGTCTCTGCCCACAGAACGAGGGTTAGAATTAGATGAACTTTAAGATCTCTTCCCATGCAAATCATTCAGTGGTTCTCTTATTTTTTGATTCTATGAAATAGCTTTATTTTTATTTTATCCTATGAGCAGATTGTCAGCACATGTGGTCTGAAGACAGGATCACAACCCCCAAAAACACAGGTCCAAGCCTTTGACACAAGTGAACTCAGCACATGCTAGGTCATATTTTGTGCTACTGGTTTTAAATAAGCTTCTCATGCAAACGATCTAATGACTGCCCTAAAACTCAGATGTGAGAAAATTCCATATTCTGATCTACATCTTAACTTCTGCTCAAGCTTTGGCTTTATCTTGTTATCTTGAGTTTCTCTCTCAGCCACTGCATACTTCTTTTATTGCTCACTCATTCATAAGGCAGGACACTTGGAAGATAGATGAGGAGATGGAAAAGGAGTTATAGCACAGAAACCGGAAAAATAACATAAATTCCTTTAGTCTCATTTGTACCTTTTTAAAAGCTCTCTTTTTTGAAATTGAAACTAGCCAGGGATGCATTTCTCAGTCCTAATTCAATCACTGCTCTTGCGGAATGGGCTGGCCTTACATCCTGGTACAATGTTCAAACTTGCAACAAAATATTTCCAATCTGCCAGGGGGATCCGCCAAATTGGCTTGGAACATTAACACAAAACACATCATGTGCCATCTATCCAGGCTGGGTTTTTGCCCTGAAGTGTAGTTAAGTAGCCTAAATTGCCTTTTGGTTTATTTCATTACCATCCCATTTAGAGACAGCAGTCTCTGAGGGATGGGGGCTCCTCAGGAAGGGATGGGGGCTCTTTGGGAAGGGATGGGGCTCCTCAGGAAAGGATGGAGCTCCTCAGGAAGGGATGGGGGCTCCTTGGGGTGGTCTCCTCTCTTGGTCTGGGCTCCTGCTGGTCAGACCAGCACAGCTAGGCCCTGCTCTGCAGCTCTCAGCCAAGCCTGGCCATGGGCACTCAGGGTTAAAAGGGCTGCTTTTGCCTGGACAGAAGGGCAACACCAGCTGACCTCCAGTGCCAGGGGTCCTTCTTAGAGGTCCATAAACACCTGGAAGGGGATGGGAAGGAACACAGGGATGAGAAAGTTCTGCTTTGTTGTTCTCTCTCCCATTTATTGTTTCTGTATTTTCCTAAGGTTTACTGGCTCCCTCTCCCTTTCTCCCTGCTCTTGTCAGAGGTGCCAGAGGTTCCAAACTGTGCTGGAATCTCTCTGGCACATCTGCCTCATTTGTGTCCCTTGCCCTCTGCAGCTGAGCTGTCCCCTCCAGATCTGCCTCCTCTAACCCAGCCTCTCCACCTGTGGCTCATAACCCCTTTTGTTGCTTCTGTTCTTGCACACAAATCCATCATCCTCTCTGGGCTTTCAGGGCTGTGTCCTGCAAATTCAGTAAGGCTGAATTGGCTCCCCAGCCTGTAGAAATGAGGCTACATGGAACCTGAACTGTCTGGCCTCAGCAAAAGCAAATCCAGCAGTGGTGATTTGATGGTTCTGTTGTACTCTGATAGCAGGTGCTTGGACTATTTGTTTTACATTAAAATACATGGATGGTGTCATTTTAATACTATTATATTATTCCAATACCCTCTGATGAACCAGTGCCAGTAATATGAAATTCTTTGGGTAGGGACACAGACCACAGTCTTTTCCTTGGTTTCTATGAGCCAAAAGCAGTGCCCTTCCCTTAAAAACTTGGTCTGTGTTAAAACCAGAAAGCATTCTTCACCTTGTATTTCAGGATTTGTTTCTTTGAAGGAATTATCCAGCAGCTATATTTTTACATCAGATTTAAACTTTAGGTGTGTTACAGACTGACTTTTCCTAAAATGTAAGAGGCTGGAGGGCACAAAATGTCAATCCCAGATCCCATGTCTCTTACCAAATGACCATATCCAGCACCACCAGCCATGGGAAGTAAATCTGTATGCACCAGTGGGTGCTCTGAACTGGATTAAATGCAGACAAAGAGCTGGAGTTCTTTTAGCTTTGTCCACTTTTTCTTTGAGCTCCCACAGCAAACTGTCAGTACTTGTTTCTCCCTCTGTCTCCCTTTGCCATTTGCCTCTGGGAAATAGTTTGTGTGGGGAAAGCTGGGCTGGCTCTCCCTGCTGATGTTATCTCCAGATGCAGCACCTTTGGGCACTGCTATTGGGAGCACAGCGTGTTTGCTCTCCCCCTTTAGCTTTGCAGGGAAAGTGTGGGGTTGGCCATGGGAAGGTGGCAGCAGCAGCCCAGGAGCTGCAGGTGCTGTTCCAGCTCCATTTGGTCCTGGAGCCTGGCTGGGGCTGTTCCAGCTCCATTTGGTTGGAGCCTGGCTGGGGCAAGCTCAGCCAGGGCTCCTGGCTGTCCCACCCTGCTGGGGGGCACATGGAGAGCTGGTTTGTGCCTGGCATGCTCAGACACAGCACTCACACCCTCACAGGGCTTTTCTCAGCCCGGAGTCTGTCCTGAGTCTCTCAGTGGTGTGTCCTGGGCTCCTGGCACCAAAGCAGCTGAGTTGCCCAAGGACCCCACACGTGGGGTCAGGGACAGCCCAGCTGCAGCTCAGCCAGAGCTCTGCAGCTCTTGATGCCAAAGCTGTGCTGAAGGACCTGCACCTCAAACCTGGATACCATCCCACCTCCAGATCATCCCCCCTCCAGCAGGATTCCCATGGGAATGGGATCAATGCAGGGCTAGGCACGCTGCAGTGCTGCAGCCAGAATAACCCTGGCCCCAGGCTGCTTCTGCAGCCCAGGTAATTAGTGAGACACTGACTCCTGCCCAGCAAGGCCAGGGTCTTGCCTAATTTTGTCTGACATCAGATCACCTGGGTCAGGAAATTCCTGTCTCCTGCAAATGTCTGCACACACACACCCTTCACTAAAGGTCAAGGAAAGTGTAAGTATTGGCAAAATTAGTGAGATTTTCACTCCAGAGAGGAACATGGCAGGGCTTGGAGAGAGGCCACAACATTTCTGTGGGAGCCTGGCTGGGGCTGTTCCAGCTCCATGGCCCTGGAGCCTGGCTGGGGCAAGCTCAGCCAGGGCTCCTGGCTGTCCCACCCTGCTGGGGGGCACATGGAGAGCTGGTTTGTGCCTGGCATGCTCAGACACAGCACTCACACCCTCACAGGGCTTTTCTCAGCCCGGAGTCTGTCCTGAGTCTCTCAGTGGTGTGTCCTGGGCTCCTGGCACCAAAGCAGCTGAGTTGCCCAAGGACCCCACACGTGGGGTCAGGGACAGCCCAGCTGCAGCTCAGCCAGAGCTCTGCAGCTCTTGATGCCAAAGCTGTGCTGAAGGACCTGCACCTCAAACCTGGATACCATCCCACCTCCAGATCATCCCCCCTCCAGCAGGATTCCCATGGGAATGGGATCAATGCAGGGCTAGGCACGCTGCAGTGCTGCAGCCAGAATAACCCTGGCCCCAGGCTGCTTCTGCAGCCCAGGTAATTAGTGAGACACTGACTCCTGCCCAGCAAGGCCAGGGTCTTGCCTAATTTTGTCTGACATCAGATCACCTGGGTCAGGAAATTCCTGTCTCCTGCAAATGTCTGCACACACACACCCTTCACTAAAGGTCAAGGAAAGTGTAAGTATTGGCAAAATTAGTGAGATTTTCACTCCAGAGAGGAACATGGCAGGGCTTGGAGAGAGGCCACAACATTTCTGTGGGCTGGGGAGGGCCATGGGGAGGTGCCCCTTTCAGCTGGTGGAAGGTGAGGATTGGTGATTTATATTATTACAGAGGCAATTGTAGCTCCTTAAATAAGACAAAGCTCCTCAAACTTTGGGAATGATGTTGAGATACATTTATTTTGCTATTGGAATGATTCATTGACCAAAAAGGATGTTTTAAGCCAATAAAATGAAGCCATGTCTTATTTAGTCTTTCAACAAAATAATGTGAGAACCAAACCATGTGTAGAGTGAGACCAGGAATTGGAAAGGACACTGGGTGGACAGACAGCAAAAGGACGATGTCTCTTAAAGTTATTAAATGTCACTGCCACTTGTTTTATCCAAGTGTGAGATTAATCTCAAAAG